AGCGGTAATGAGACTTATTAGAAAATATTATTATTATTATTCATCTAAATAACACTCCCACTGATTGGCGAGTCTGCGATACTGAACATAATGTTCATTGTGACAAGGTCGGACTCCCTCCGCGACGGGCGCCCTCTCCATATAGTATGCGCAGCTAAGGAGCGGCTCTGACCATTTCCTCCTCCCGCCTCAGGAAATACTCACCCTTAATATCATCTGAGACAAACTACCCAAAGTCTACCCAAACTACAGCGATAATTACACCATGCCCAGAGACAGGGACAGAGAAGCACCCCTGGAGGCCATCTGACACGGGGACTGAGCGGCAGAGCCGAAGAACCAGAAGCGATCTCAATGGAGAAAGAAAAGGAGGGCCCAGGTTTCAGCCGGCGCTCAGCCTTCAGGCGAACGCACTGGCTGTAGCATCACAGTCAGGTACAACGGAGGAAGAAAAGCTCTGTGGATATTCAGCTTGGAGAACTGAGAGATGGAGAAGATATTTCCGTTTCATGATCTGTTTTTCATCTTCCCTTTAAGAACTATGTGGAAAACAAGTCTGGAAGCAGGTTTCCTGGAAGTCACTCCGATTTCCTCAAGTCGGGAATTCCTCTGGTTTTTCGTTTTTCTTTTATCTCCCAATTCCCCATCTCCACCTCAGATAAAGGACCCCTCATACAAAGAATGTGCATTCACTGAGGAAGATGCTGAAGTCTGGTCCCTTTTCTCACACTGCTGAACTTCAGAAACCTGGCGCTGAGGAAATTACGTCTCATCCCTGTCCTTCCCCAGCCCAGTTTTTGCACGTGTCGGAATTGTACAGTTCCAGCCCTGGCCACATCTGGGCAGAAATGCTCCTGTGCTTTTTGCCCTGTCAGCCATGAAGCCCTGGCCCCATCTGGGCAGAAATGCTCCTGTGCTTTTTGCACTGTCAGCCATGAATTGTTCTGCTTCTCACAGGTAACAGTAGGGACAGTGTGCCCCTGTGCCGAGGTCATAGCGTGGTATTTTCCAAGGTCCTTTAGTCGCTGTGGTCGGCATAGCGGACATGATATCGTGAGGTGTGTTTGGGAAGAGGAGGTGGTTCCTGGTATCCCCATCGTGGCAAACACAAGGAGCAGAATATACTGTGTTGGTGGACCCACCTGCACCATGGGAAGCTCTGAGAACTCAAGACTCATCCTACAAGACGGCGATCTCAGCCAGAGAGCTCCGCTGAAGGAGCGCAGCGAGTCCTTTGTAGACGTGGAGAGAGAGATTTTTCCCATGGCCTCGGAATAGGGCCCTAATGGAATGAGTGAACCAGGGTTCAAGAAGCCGCTCTTGGCTCTGAGTAAAATTAAGGGAGCAATTGATCCTTTTTGTGATCAAAAGCATGAAGTACCTTTAAATGGCAGAACAACAGATACGTGTTTGTACTTTAAAAGTATTTCTTTCTTGTGGTCTGACTGAAATATTGACATGGTGTTTGAGGTAGCAGTGGGAGAGAGAATCAATTGAATTCTTTGGTCTTGTGGGGAAGGCATGAATTACCATAAACGAATAACCAGAGCATTTATTATAAAGATTTGAAAGTATGGGAAAATAAACACCTGTAGAAGAAATCAATATAGTCACCATAGAACTTTATTTAAAGCATTAGCTCTCAGTCATTTTACAGGCCTTACTCTTCAGGGAACAGTGTAGAATGTTGTAGATTCCATTGAGAGAAGTGGTGCTTTTAAGTCTTTATAAGATGATGATAATGACAATGAGAATAGAAACAAGAATGCCGATACTGATGATCGAGGCACTTTAGGAAGGCTTACTAAGTGCAAGGCACTCAGCACCCTGGGTAGTTGGCTCATTTCATCTTCTCAGACTCCTAAACATGGAAGCAGTAGTAGGAAGACATTTGGTAAAAAAGGAAACAGACTTAGGGGAGCTAAATGACTTGTCTGACTTTACGTAGGCAGCCACTCGGGGAGCTCAGATTTATCAGTACAAAAACAAACCGAAGACCTGTTTCCTCTGTTAATACCGATTTTTTTAAAACCTCAACTTATGCTAGTACCTAATCAAACGACATCTTAAAAGAATTATACACCATGACCAAAAGGAATTTATTCCAGGTATGCAGGGGTAGGTTAACATTTCAAAGTCAACTAATGTAATGCATCACATTAATAGAATAAAAAGGAAAAATATCATGACCATCTCAAGAGACTCAGGGGAAGTACTTGACAAAGTCCAACATTCTTTTATGATAGAAATACTCAGCATGCCAGTATGCAAAGAAAATTTCCTGAACCTGATAATGAGCACATATGAGATACCCACAGCTAATATTATCTTTAATGGTGAAAAGCTGGATGTTTTCTCCCAAAAATAAGGAAGAAAACAAAGATGCCAGCTACTTCCATTTCTGTTTAACAATGTACTGGAGATTTTAGCCAGAACAATTTTGCCAAAAAATGAAATAAAATGAATCCAGATTGGATAAGAAGAGGTAAAACCATCTCCACCTGCATATGACTTATCTGGTATGGAGATAAGGAATCCACTAAAAGTCTCTGTTAGAACTGACAATCAAGTATGGCAAATTTGTATGAAACAAGATCAGTATATAAAAATAAACTATTTCTATACACTGCAATGAACAATCTGATAATGAAATTAACAAAATCTATTTGCAGTAGAATCAAAAGGAATGAAATAGGAATAAATTTAATAAAAGTAGAAAATAAATACTCTGAAAACTGCAAAATATCATTAAAAATTTTAATAAAGATCTACAAGTATGAAATAACAAGTATTGGTGAGAATGTGGAGAAAAGGGAACCCTTGTGCACTGTTGGTGGGAATGTAAATGAGTACAGCCACTACGGAAAAAAAGTATGGAATTTCCTTTAAAAATTAAAAATAGAGCTTACATAGGATCCAGCAGTTCTATTTCTGGGTATTTATTTGAAGAAAATGAAAACTAACTTGAAAAAAATATATGTACTCCCATGTTCACTGCAGCATTATTTACAATAGCCAAGATATGGAAACAGCCTAAGATGGATGAGTGGATAAAGAAATTGTGGGATATATGTGTATATATATGTGTGTGTATATACATACACTATATATACGTATACATTGGACTATTATTCAGCCATATGAAATTTTGCCATTTGTGAAAACACAGATGGACCTTGAGGACATCGAGCTAAGTGAAATATGTCAGACAGAGGAAGACAGCTACCATATAATCACTCTTATGTTTGGAAACTTTAAAAACACAAACAAACACAAACAAAACTTATAGATACAGAGAATAAACTGGTGGTTGCCAGAGTCAGGGGATGACGGGGTAGGAGAAATGGGTAAACGGAGTCAAATGGTAAAAAAAATAAATAAATAAAAGCAAGGGAGTTGTAAAAATAATGCATAATTCTAATAATCACATACTGACACAGAAAAATGACTACATACTTTTATATATTTAAATTTGCAAACCATGTGTCATTTCAGTTGGATGGCTATTTAATAAATGCACATACATGCCTAAGGATATCAGTTATAGAGCTGTAAGCATTTTGAGGATATGTGGAGAAAAACTCTCTCCTAGCCACATTTCCCTTGAAATTAATTTCTAGTAATAACCATTAAATGTTTTTTATAACCAAAAATTTGATTTACACTAGGGTGTGGTTGGGTGGGTATTTGGATATTTGGATATTTCAAATTAATTAAAATGAGTAAAGGCCTTGGGACGATGCCATCTTTTTTCCTTGATCTTTATTTTTCCCTAACCAATAGAGGCAAGGAAAAAAGATTGAACCTTAAAAAAATTATATAAAGATCTAAATAATAGGTAAAATTGTCCATGTTCATAGATCAGAAGACTTAACACTGTTGAGATGGCAATAATACCCCAAATGATCTAGATTTTCAGCACGATACCTGACATAATCTCAGCTGACTTCTTTACAGAAATTGTCAAGCTGTTTCATAAATTCATATAGAATTGCAGGGCAACCACAATATCAAAACCAAGCTTGAAGGAGTAAAACAAAGTAGTAAGAATAATATTTCCTGATTTCAAATTTTACAACTCAGCAATGGTAATCGAGGTGGTATGACAATGACACAAAAACAGACATAAAGATCAGCGGATTAGATTGAGATTCCAGATATAAACCCATTCATCATGGTCATCTGGTTTTTAAAAAGATGCCAAGAATGAGGAAAGAATATCCTTTTCAAAAAGAATTAAGTTAGATCCTTACATCACACCACATACAATAATTTACCAAAATAGATCAAAGACCGAAGTCTGAAGTAAAACTATAATATTCTTATTTTAAAAATAGGGGAAAACATGACCTTGAATTTGGCAAAGAATCATTAGATATGACACCCAAAACAAAATGGTAAAATTAAAATAGTGTTTTTGTTATATTAGTCCAAATAGTAATTGAATTACCTTAGGGATACCACAGCCCTTTACATTTCAAAGTTCTCTAAGAATACATTTAAAAAATGATCTCAAATAAATTTCTTTCCAGCGTAAAATGTACACCTGAGAATGTAATGAACACATCTCACCCCCATGTGATTAGACTGAGAAGAGTCCCTGAGCCCAGGCTGGGGCTGCGGGGTTCCACTTTCCCACCAGAGCAGAGTGCTTGGGAGGTCACTGGATTTTTTTTTAACTACGAAATGAGTGGGGGTGGGGAAGCGATGGATGGGACACTCAAAGCTGTCAAGAGTAAAAGATCAAAATGGAGCCAGACTAATTATTACACATGGTGGAGTGACTTTTAAGTGCCTACACCTGTAAAAAAAGGAGTCACGGTCCCACGAATGGCCTCGCGGCCTTATATTTCAATGCAAAAGTCCACCACAGGATGAGTTCCAGCTGGCCTTTTGCCCCAGCCTCGAAAGCTCTGGCCAGCTGTCGCTCAGGCGCGAAAGAGCAAGGCCTTTCGAACTGTCCAATCAGGGGCAGCCCCGGGGAAGGTGGGTGGGGCGACGGTCCTCCAGCAGCCCGGACGTCCTGCTTGCTCCGGCCATCCTTGAGATCGCGGGTCGCTAGTCCTTAAAGGCCCCAGTTTGTTCTGCCGCAGGGTCTGTCGCGTTGTGATCTGTACCGTTACCGGGAATCGTAGGGAGGTCGCCGGGGGACCCAGGAAACCTAGGGATGGTGAGTGTGCGGGGCCGGGTGCGGAGACTGGGACGAGGAGCTGGTTGGAACCGGCTGTAGCGGGACCCGGCCTCCCAAGGTCAAGTCCCGAGTCCGCGGAGCCGCCTTCAGACCTCAGTCCCCTCCGGCACGCAGCGTTGGGGCTGGGCCGGCAGCCGGGACCCCGGTTCGGCCCCGGTCCCGGAGCCTCTCTAGGCAGCTCTGCGCCCGCAGCCCCGCGTCTCCCGAGATGGTGCGGTGACCACGGGGAGAGTCATCAGGGGGACAGTCGTGACTTGTTCTCTGGGGTTTGTGCGTGGGAGGAACTGTGGTCTGTGGGGTCCCAGTCCTTCCTTTCCCTCCCAGGGGACGCCCGTTTTCTCTTGAGTTTCCTAAGCGTCTGGGAAGCTGGGTGTGAAATCCAGGACCCTTACTGCACCCTGCTCTGCTCCAACCGTCTTCCCAGGACTGGAGATAAATGCCTAAATTTCCAAATCCCTCCCCATATTCCCAAAGACCGACTTCCCCTCCCTGACTCAAACATCATAATCAACTATTTGTCCAATAGGGCGCATTTCAAACAGACCTATGTTCTGTTTTATCATTTTTTCATAGTCAATGGGTGGTCCTTTTAATGGGGTTTTATTTTCTGCTTGTGGATATTTTACATGAGAGAAAAATAGCGAATAATCACCTGGAACTATGGTGTGTGAAATCCTTGTGGCCTCCCAGAACCTCCCCTGGGCACACACGTCCTGTGGGAAGTCCTTTGGCCGGAGGCTCCTTTAAACTTTCCTCAGTGTTCTGTCCTGTCAGCACTGCCCTTCCTTGGGTTTGTCACCTTTAAAAAGTATGTTAACTTTATGGGTTGTTCAAACACTGGGTTTGTGTCTTTTAAAGTATCTCTTATTGTCCAAAGCTATTCCAATGGAGACAGAGGCCGGAGGGCAGGGTCTCTAAGCTAAGGCCCCCTTGACCTGCAACGGGAAGCACTTGCAGGCCTAGTGGTTCTCCCTGGGGAGCCTCCCTCTGCAGGTGTCCTTCCTGCTCACACCCACCATGGAAGAAGCCTTTACACTGAGAGAAGCTGCAGCCCTGGAAAGCTGGGGTGCACTTGCACTCGCGGGAGAGTGATGCTGCCTTTCTGAGGTTGAGGTTGAGGTTGTGGTTTCCTTAGGCCTCGATGTTTTAGGTGTTTTGTTTGAGTTGTGCATCCACAGTGTAGATGCGCTCAGAGTGTAATTTGTGCACGTGGAGAAAGTCAGTGAAAGTTAGGAGTTCTCTGACCTGGCTTAGGGTTTGTGAATGAGAAGTTCGTTTGGGTCAGAACCTTACACTAAATCCAGCTGAGCGTTTCCTCACTGTGAGATGAAGCCTGAGAGAGGGAGCGTTTCCATTATTCCCCGGGGAGAGGAGGGTGTTGGGTCTCAGAGTTCATTCCTAGGGTGACTCAGGTGTCCCTCCTCTCCTCCAGGGACTGACCCATTCCAGGGGTTCTGTCTCAGCAGGAGAGTCTGGAATGTGGAGCCTTCTGCAGGTGACTTTCCTTCTGTCCCGTGGGAAACAGGCTGCTCATCTGAGCTGATTCTTTCCTTTGGCTCCTTTATCGACTGACTGTGCAGTGCAGCCCTTTGCCTCCAGGTCCCTGAGCAGCTGGGCTCTGACAGTGTAAGATGACTGACAGATACGAGGTGAGGAAGCAAGAAAATGGTGAAGCCAAATAGAATTTTTGTTCTGTTTAGATAAGAGAATCTAAAGATGTGAGATGAATATATTTAAGTTCTCAGGTACATTTTTCTCTTTCATGTTGGTTTTTATATGTGCTTGACCCTAAAGAACTTTTAAAAAGGCTAAAGCAATTGAATTCCTATTATAATTGATGTGAGATAAACTATTGAAAGCTTACAAATATTTAAAAAATCCTACTACATTTAAGGGGCTAAAATCAAACCCCTAATGCATTACAATACATTACTTATTCCTGAAAATACCCTGGTGCGAAATATAAGGGACAAACTATGACACTACATGTCCTTTTAGTTAGCAAGAGATTTGAAATTTTTCATTTTGTATGGTTTACACTTTGTAACTATTAGTGCTTATAGGGATTAAATCTTAAGATGGTTTCCGATGCAGAAAAATTAAAATTAAACTGTTAAATAGTAAAATATACATAAATTTCTCTGTTTATTTTAAAGAAATCTGTAAAATAGGAAAGTCTAATTTAAGAAAACTCACTGGCAACATATCCTGGTCCCTCCAGCCCTGTTGTTACTCCAGCCACCACCAAATACACAGTTTGGATCATTTCTCAAGCCTCCAATTAGCATTTCTGTTCTGTTCAGTGCCTATTTCAACAGCCTCTAGGCTGCACTTGGCCTTCACCTCTGAAGGTACGTGATAAGCCTTTACTGGGTTATCCTCACGGGTCTTCGACAGCTTTGTCAACCCACACAACCCTTACAGGCAAGACCTGAACCGCATCCTGGTTTGTCCAAAGAACACAGGTAGGACATTATATTAATGTCATCTCCTCTTAGGACATTCAGGACATACAAATATAGAAAAAAGGAGCTCACAAGATGTGGATGGGACATTGCCATGCATAGTGGATGGGGCACTGACAACTTTGTTAAATTTCTAGAAATTACTTAAGCCAAGGCCCACTCCCTCCCTGACACCATGAAGAAATAACTCTTGTCCCTCTCAGTACCCACAACATTTCCTAGATTCTTTCAGTGTTCTGGAGGGAACATATTCCTTCTTTACAAATTTTACTTGAGCACAAGTATGCTGTTACTTTGCAAATTTGCCACCTAATAGGCACCCCTACCACAAAAGGCTGGAGACTCTTCAAATTGCCACACAACTGGCACTCTTATTAGTGCCCTCAGAGACTCCTTCACCACAGATGCTTCACTAACCTCTCATGCCTCCTAGAGTGACCCATGATGGCCCTTCACTAACCTCTCATGCCTCCTGGAGTGACCCATGATGGCCCTAAGTTGTCCATAGGCTTCTGATATAAACACCTTCACTAGGTCTCACACTATATGTCATCAGAGCTGCAGGTACCTCTACTAAAAGTAGGTAGCGCTCATCACCTATCCAGCAGTCCATTAAGCCTTGGGACCTGGAATCAGCACTCCGATGGCTCACCACAGCTCCCGAGACCCCCTTGAGACGTGATGGAGCCAAACCTGGGCCTTCTGCGACGGCCTACCTGTGGGGGGCGGGGGGCTTTCCCTGTCTTCAGCCTCTTACAAGATGCCAAGGTGCTGTAAGAGGTCACCCCTTTCCCAGGCCTCTAGGCTCCCTGAGGAGTCCCATGGGGTTACCTGACTTAAAAGCAGTGGGAGTTCATGGACTTGACCTACAACATCACTACATTTGTATGTGATGGAGCTCAGGCAGAGTTACTCCTTTTTCATTTTTTTCCCCATCATTATTGAAATATAATAGACAATCCGTTGCTTGTATTTACATTGTACAATTCAATGAATTTTTTTTTCAATTATAGTTGGCATACAATAATATACCAGTTTCAGTCGTATAGCATAGCGATCAGAGATCCACATAACTCATAAAACGATCACCCCACCAAATCTGGTACCCCTCAGATATTTATTACATTATTAACCATCTTCCCCATGCTATATTCTACATCTCCGTGTCTATTCTGCAACTATCCATTTGTACCTCTTAATCCCTTTGCCTTTTTTGTCCCCCCCCCAAACCTCCTCGCATTTAGTATCCCTCTAAATATTCTCTCTATCTATCAGTTTATTTCCATTTTTGTTGTTGTTGATTTGGTTCTTTAGATTCCACGTGTATGTGAAATCATGCGATATTTGTCTTTCTCCATCCAACCCATTTCATTCAGGGCACTATCCTCTAGGTCCATCAAGGCAGTATCTTTTTCCATCCCCTTGTAGTCTGTTTGTGTCTTTTAATCTGAAGTGAGTCTCTTGTAGGCAGCATATGTGGGGGTCTTGTTTTCTTATCCATTCAGCCACCCTTTCTTTTGGTTGGGGCACTTAATTCTTTTCCATTTGAGGTATTTGTCGATAGAAATGTAGTTATTACCATTCTTTATTCCTGTTTTTGATACATGTTTTTTCTTCTTAAAGAAGTCCCTCTAACATTTCCTGTAATATTGGCTTGGTAATGACAAATTTCTTATTTTTGTCTGGGAAGCTCTTTATCTGTCCTTCACCTCTAAATGATAGCTCTGCTGGATAAAGTATTCTTGATTGAAGATCCTGGGTCTTCATTACATCAAATATTTCGTGCCAAGCCCTTCTGTCCTGCATGCTTTCTTTTGAGAAATCAGCTGCCAGTCTTATGGGTACTCCCATAAGGTTACTAACTGCTTTTCTCTTGAAGTAATACTTGTCTCTACATAAGGCTGCAATGTAAGGTCTCTCCAGGACATTCCCACACGTGGGAGTTCTAGACACTACTGATAAAAGGAAAGGGACTCATTGGACTTCTCAGGACATATAGGGCTGGGCTCTCAATCAATAGAAGTTTCTCTTTTTCATATCTTGGAGTGCAGACTGCATAGAATCATAATGGCTTACTGAAATAAGCTCAAATTAATTGAATGAAAGGTGGTCTCTTTCTGTCATCGGTTAATCATCGGGATGGATATTAATGTGTGTGTCTTCATCTTTTTTCCTAGTAGACTTCTTTTTTAAGAGCCATTATATTTACAGAAAACTTGGTTGGAAAGTACAGAGACTTCCTGTATGATCCCTCTGCCTCCACACAGATATATGTTGTATCTCATAATCTTGTGGTACATTTGTTAGATTTGATGAGACAACTTTGATTCATGAAAGTCTATAGTTTAGATTAAGGCTGTGTCATACAACCTCTGCTCTTCGGCCAATATAAAATGACATGTCTCCACCATTTATATATCATATGTAGTAGTTTCCCCTTATCCACAGGAGATACATTTCAAGACCCCCAGTGGATGCCTGAAACTTCGATGGTACCAAACCCTATACAGTATG